ATAGTAGAGAACTTGGAATCTGGTTATTACCAGATTACTTTGATAAAATATCATAAAGGACCTAATTAAAAGTATTGTTTTTGTCACCTTGACTTGAGTAATTAAAAAAAATCGTATCTAGAGTGTGAAAACTTTGATATTTGTCACATGGTATTGCACACGATGGCACTTTTTCGGCATTTTTTTGTGTATTGCGCGTCTTTTTTTAATTTTTTGTGATAACGCCCTAGATTCACAGCAAATAAACCTCTATTTATGGGATTAAAACTGTTTTAATATCACCTATGTTTTATTTTAAGATTTAGATTTTAGTATATAGAAGTTCTGTTTACGTAGCGATCATTTCTTTAGTGTTCGGTATGTTTGGTATATCTGTAAATTTTACAAAAGGAAACATAGATGTGACCGTTTAAAGAAACTGTATTTTTTTCCGGTTATATATTAATAATAATTCTACGTTTAAATAAATAAACTAGGTGTCGTTAATTAGTTCGTCGCTGAAATAAAAAGCGAAAATGGTCCTTCGAGCAGGAATCCCATCTCAGCCGCTATAATTAAGGTGAGAGAATAATTTAACACTGTCCCGGCGACGGCAGGTCACGTAGACCGCTCGGGAAACTTTCTATTGCACTCTGCAAATAAGTCGAGCCCCGACACTAATTAGTGCATTCGGTTCCGAACGTCCCCGACAAAAGGGCGAAGTTTGTGATTGCGACACTATAACGAGGGAATCTTTGTCGTCGCCAGTTTGCGGTTAAGTTTCATTACCAGTTGGTACATTATTTTCTAGATTTCTTCATTTTAGATTTATGTAAGTTCTTATTGCTGGAACAAGCCGACTTTTCCTAAGTGACATAAATACTACCCTTACCTGAGTATTTTACATTTATGTCTCTTGATTCAAAAGTTATTGGAGATACTAATAATTACGTTGGACTTTACTGGAAGAAAAGTAAAATACCCCAGCCACACAACAGAGATAAGATACGGTGTCGACCCATTTTGGCTTTGAACGATTGGAAGTCCAAAGTCTGAAAACAAGACAAATATTTACCTCTTTCCAGTTATTTAAATCTGTCGTTGATTAGCCTGTAGTGGCAATAAGACTGATCTTAATTCTTTAATTTACAATCTTTGTTACGTCCTTATACAATACACAAAGAAGTATAATGCTTTATACGCATTGCATAAATACGTTTAAAATTATGGACCTATTGGAGTCAATTAATATCCTACGATATCATATCCATAATAACCATCCAATTTATGATGGTTAATATATCGCGTGTTTCTGTAAATTATAAATATAACCAGTCAATTTCACACCTGGCGTGTTCCTGTCTAAAGTTTCCTATGGGAGTTAGGAGCGTGAGTGTCGGGTGTCGACTAATTAGTGCATGCGCTGACGCGGAATGGGCGACGAAAGCAAAAGGTGCGGAATGAAACAGCATGACAGTTTCGGTCAAAATATTCGAAATTTAAACATAAATTTACATCTGCTCTTGGTGCCCTAGAGTACATTTTAATTATAATTTATACTAATATATCAAGTTAAAGAGTTTTTTGTTGGTTTAGATTTATTGGGAAAGACGGGCTGCGACTAAATAATAACAAATAAATGGTGGGAAATGTGGAAAAAACGGGGAAAATTATTCATTCTTGTACGCTAAGAGCGGTTCAAGATACCCAAAACATATGTATGAAAGAATGATTCATTTTTAAAATTATCTAAAAAAACGTCCGCGACCATATTATATGTTTATCTTTTAAGATTACCTTGCAGGAACGACAGGACGCAGACGACGTTGTGAGTAAAAGCTTAAATTTATAGAGCCAGGAGTCTAACATTTTTGTTAAAATTAACAAATAAACATCACTCTTTATCAGTATTATAATATAATAGATAAAAAAAGTGATTCAAACACGATCTAGTAGCTGGGCATCGCACGTGCATTCAATAATAATTACAGATATCACTCTCCCATCGAGGGTACTTAACAAAGCGGAATTGCAAATCACTCTTAAAACGTCGCTAAAGCGTGGATAATTCAACCACATGTTTTGTTCGCACACAATAATGACACATAATTACTCTGCCCTACATTCAGTGCATGAACATACGAAATCAGAAATGAAGTTGCAGCCTTGCCGTGCTCTAGGGTACGAAATCCCCCTCGAGCGTTACAGGGTTAGTAAGTAGGGTAAAAGGGTCAATAGTAGTCCAGATAAAGGTGGCTGCAACAAATTGTGCTCCCGCCTTTGTTAACGTACCCTGCTGAACTTAATTGTGCTTTTGTCCATCGTTACGGTCGGTCTCGTGATTGGTCAAGCTTAGGACTGAAATAACATGTAGGATCGAATTGATTTTGCGCCCTTTGTCGCCTTCGTTTGTAGCGTCTTGCGTGTGTTTTATGGCTCGGGTTTGTCGCGCTTATTAATTTTAATAATCTGTTAAATTATAATGGACAGTACATATTCCCTTCTTAAACAAGCAGAACATTAAATTTCGTTTTTTAAGGAAGACATATACTAGCTCACATCCTAAGCTGAAGTACGTATATCGTTGATATTTAGTTAAATGTTTGAGACGGTTATAAGACCCTATCTGTAGTTTTATAATTTTAATAAAACACTTAAACGGTCTAAAACGCGATATATATTAGTTAAACTTATTTGAAAGTTATATTTACTACAGCCCAACGTTTCGGATGCTTTGCAGCAGCCGTAGTCACGGGAAGACTCATTTAGGTTCACAATTAAAGACTTCACTAAATTTATTTGTTTTCCTATAATATAAACACCCACACGAATTTCATCAAAATTCCTAATTTCGGCAATTTGAATAATGAATGTTCTAATATGAAACTACAGACACCTTACACCTACGTGAAAATGAATATTTCATTACTTCCTAAGCATGATGCTCAAATTAAATTCTTCGCTTTAACAAGATACCCTAGTGGTCTAATAATTAATATTGTACTCATAATATAACTAAAGACACATCGTGCTATTCAGTAACAAAAAAATCTCTAAAGCTATTGATTCGTATTGAAAACTTATTATTGTGTTGTTTAGGACATTTATCGAGGAAGGTATTTGGCTACAAAACATCAGGCTACGACCAATTGAAATGAAGAAACAGTGGGTGATATGGAAAATTGCCTTTAGGTTTCCATGAGTGCCCAGCAAAATATGTATAAAAAATATGTTATTTAAAGAATATAAATTTTAATGACATAAAACAGTACATTTATCTTATAAGAATAACTCACAGGTAACTGTAATTATGGTAATCAAATTTGATTACATGGCCAAATAATTTTTGTAAAATTTTATTGTTGTTACAATTTCAAAATTATGTTAAAACTTTGAAGTAATTTTGCTTAACAGCTTATTACGATAAGAATTAAATATTTCTCCCCAGTAAAAATCGTATATATTTGCTCACTGTAGTTACAGCTGACTGGATCTAGGATATAATTGAGCATCGGTGTTTTTTCGAGCGTACAGGCCACTTGTGTGGACAGCCCGTATACCCTCATATAAAAACGTGTATCGTGATTACATCTCGATTTTTGCACCCTTTTCGGATTATCATCACTCAAATATTTGAAAGTAACTGCTTGATTTAGAACACGTGGACTTTTTAGGCAGATTACGTTTTTAACATAACTAGGTTTTGTGGCTAAACTATATGAAGTGTAAATTTAATTATAAAACACTTTTAACGCTTTCAAACTCGTTATTTACACTGCTGCAATGCATCGGTAATTAAAATAAATTAAAAATAAGTTAATTAACATGTTTTGCATTTTAAACCGTCAAAAGTGTTTTATTCAAATGTATAGTGCTCGAAGGTAATATGTAAGTATGTTGTTAACTAAATACTGTCTATAGTTTACGCGAGTAGTACACATTTAAATAAAACACTTTAACGGTTTAAAACGCAATATATCAGTTAAACTTATATGGAAATGATTTTCGCCCCTCCCCGTGACCACGGCTGCTGCAAAGCATCCGAAACGTCGCGCCGAAGTTAAAAATCATTTCCATATAAGTTTAACTAATATATCGCGTTTTAAACCGTTAAAGTGTTTTATTTAAATGTTGTTAACTACTAGGGCAATCTGTGTCTATCGCCGAGCAACAAGGCTGTCAATAATGGCGTCACGTGTCTGCATTGTAAAGTGTCTAACATGTGCCTCAGGTAGGGAAAACGCAGAATTTTATTTCTACTCTTTTACATAAATGAAAATTGTGAGGGTATATCCAGATTTGAAACACCTATCTTTTGATTACAGACACGTGGGCTTACAGCACTCAACGGACGGACAATCGCATTAGTGCACGCTTCAAAAACTGGATTTTACCGCGAATCGTCATCCTAAATAAACAATAACAAGAAGGGGACACGGCTTTCAAACGATTTTCGGAGGATCAGCTGACAGATTAACTGGCCCTATAAAACAATTACGTGTTAAACAAATTAAAACTCTATGACAACTGTGTAAGGTTGAAATTACAATAGCGGAACAGCCAAAAGCGTATGATGGTTTCAACTGATAGGTGCTTATGGAGTTTTTAAGGAGACAAAGGGTTGGAATGGCGTTAATGTTGACAATGCGGCTGATTTTGCCATACTAAGTGCTCCGAAAATGGTGATATTATTATTATATTTATGGTATTTAAACAAAACGCAATTTTTAATTTAAATATCTGTTTGCTTGTAAAAAAGAAACGTTGCAGTAAACAAGTATCTTTATTTACGCGAGAGGTAGTCAGAATATGTTTGTGAATTAAAAACATTTAGATTATGCAAAATACCGGGACTTGCCACAACACACAGAATGCTGTAGATGCGGTTCAAGCCCACCCGTGTCAAGTTAAGTAAAGAAAAATATGTATTAAAGTCATTTAAACGGTTACTTATTATTTAAAAGTTGCAAGGGGCCCAGTGAAACTACAGTTCAAAAAAAGTCAAATTAGATAAAATTTCATCATGACCCCCCCCCCTCTAATCCTCCAAAACTAGAGAAGTAGATATTAGGAATTCTAGCAGTTTCACGATCCCATAATCTTCGGCAATTCTCGCTCAGAGCAGCTTGATGAACGAAATTTTCAAATCCCGCACGCGAATTAAAAATTTCCAGCGCAATATTTCGCACAGTCGAAACAAAAGCGTCACTCGCTAAGTAGAAATCTCCGTGCGACACGGCCATATGTGCTGTTATAATTAGCGAACAATGTTTGGCTTTGGTAAATCCCTTTGGGGCGTAAATTAAGAGATTTCTGCTTACGTTTAAATCCGCGAGGACGTTTCCATGTGTCCTTGTTAGGTTGGGCTTATCATTTGTATTCATATCTCTTGTCTTTCGTTTATTGCACTGTTTATATTTTAAAACAAGTTTTTCTGAATAATGTTGGTCTCTTGAAATAGATATTAAACGGATGGTAGGAACTTCGAAATTCCATCTTGGTCACTAACCATCGTCCACAGATGAAAAAGCCGTCAAATTTAAACGCGTTTCGCTTTCAGTCTGTGGATTTCCGAATATCCGACTTAGGCAGACTTGAACGGATCATCAGCGTTCGTGTGTTGTCTACCAATTATTGAGCACCACTACGCGTCAGTCATCGTGACGATGCCGGTTCAAGTCCGCCCAGTTGAAAATTTTTTCAATTATTTCGATTAAATAGTCTAAGTTTACGCGAGTAGTACACATTTAAATAAAACACTTTAACGGTTTAAAACGCGATATATTAGGTAAACAACACTTTAACGGTTTAAAACGCGATATATTACTTAAACAAATAACTAATTTAACTAATATATCGCGTTTTAAACCGTTAAAGTGTTTTATTTATTTTCGATTTTTAAGTTATCTAGTGCCTTAAAAAAAAAAGTTTTCAAGCATCTACTTCTTCGAAAAGGTACAAGACGCGTTGACACATGTATCGGTATAATTACGGATATCCACGAAATCGGAAATTTCTAAGGATAAAGAGGCGTTCGGCAATATGTTCATCAACATATTTCGAATTCCCGCTAGTCCATTAGGCAGATATTTTAATTGTTAGACGCGTCCCCCCGAAACTTTGCAGCTGTGTGTCCCTACCGCATCGAGCTATTTCGAGACAAATTACTTACCAACTGATGACGCTTCTCAAACCAGAATTTACACTCTTAATAAATCTTATAATGGGCTTAGTTTAACGACGTCACAGGGCTAATACGAAATTTCTCTTAAGTAATTTTATTCTTGGTACATTCTCACTTGCAACGATGGAGTGTTTCGAGCGTGATTTTGTCTATTTTTTTTTTTAACTAGGACAGATTTAGGACTGTTTATTATAACATAAAATGTTAATCGCAAATCACAATATCTACTTAAGACTATGGTATCAAGGTAATTTAGGTATCGTCTCTAGTTTAAGCGAGTAGTACACATTTTAATAACCTTAAACTGTTTAAAACGCGAAATATATATAATAAGTTCAGTTCCAGTATTTGTAAAGCTGTTAGAACGTTTGTAAGGCTAAGAGTTAAAATAAAAACACTTACATGCGAAACTCTCAATGATATAAATCAAACAGCGCTCAACCACGAGCACATTAGCTTTAATAAAATAATCCACGAAACACGCCTTGTATTAACAGCGCGCGGTTCTAAGCCATTAGTCCAAACACAGCGGTCGTACGAAGCCAAACAAGGCAATAATTCATACGCAATCAGGCGGGCCCTCAAAATTTCATAGCAATTGTCCGCACCCGGGATTTCACTATCGCGCCATATATCATATTCAAATGATAATTCAATAACGATTCGTCCCGGGGTCGCGATAAAAGAATAATCCGAATGGGCATAAAATTATTCTTCTGTCCCCCGAGAGAGCTCGGTCGAGACTTATTTATGCCTATTGATAAGTATGGAGATTAGAAATCTAATAGATGAAATTTATGTGCGGCCGCTTATCATAATATGACGCGTGGCCGTTTATTTGATAAAACTAGTTCAAAATTTGATTAAGAAACATTAGTTTTAATTTGAATTCGCTGGGAACTTATACGCGTATAATGGGACTGGAATTGAATTTAACCAGATAATCTCCTTAAAAGTTGTTATTTTATTCTTATTCAATTTCTATTATATGAAGTTAATGTATGATTAATGGTATAAGTTTCCATATTACAAAAACAAATTATAAATTAAAAATCGTTTTTAGATTTAAAAAAATTACGATACGGCATCCACAGCGTTCCGTGCTGTTGCTCTAACCAACGTCATCAACGAATTTTTTCAACCTATTGTTATATGCACCTCTCGCTCAATGTATTTTCATATAATGCCATCATGTGCAATAACATGAAAAATATTAAAGTTCTCAATTATATGGCCTGTTCGTTTCGTGGTAGACTGGACTGCAAATTACTTAGTCCTGTGTTCGATCTCTATATCTATAACAAAGAACAGCGCATGGTAGGAAGGTCTTAAAAATAATATGATAACATGTTTATTTTACAGCAGCGTTACTTATACAGATCGAAATGCGAAACAGTTCGTTCGACAAACGCAATAAATGTAAAGACAAATACTAAAATTACAAAGTGCTTTAGTATTAAAGGAAAACAAATATCTGGGACAAAGCATTATGAAGCTTCTGTCCACCGTATTTTGTTACAAGACAAACACTGTACCCATCCAGTTGAGACTCGGGTTACGCTTAAGTGACTTGTCGACCGCCGCAGAATATTCCATTAAATTGTTTTCTTTGCTAAACGCCATCCGTCTTACACAATGTAAATAATAGCCCTTTAATGGTCGCGATGAAGGAACTTTGGATGTTATTTGTACAACTACCCGCAAAGAGAATATATGATGCACTTCATAGTAGTATAAGTGAACATTACCTTATTGATTTTAAACAATATTGCCACCTGATTACTAAATTGAATAATCAAATACTATTTAAATAAAACACTTTAACGGTTTAGTGATGAATTTGTAAACTTACTTCAAAATGACTTTTAACTTCGGTCCGACGATTCGGAGCTTTCAGCAGCCGTGGTTACGGAGAGACTAAAGATGGATGTCCAATGATTCTAATAAGCTTAACTAAAATATCCTAGAACGCGTTAAAATGTTTTATTTAAATGTGTACACTCGCGTAAACATTGCAGTGTTTAGTTGCAAATAGGTGTCAAAATACAAAAAAGGTTTGGTTGAAATAGTAATGTACCATTTATATGCTTGCAGTGTACCTACCTGACTAACTGAGTCGTGATAAAAATGACCCGTGGTACAATAGTAAAACAGCATCGCGTTACACTTTTAGTCTTAGCTTTGATATATGGTTAGAACATTCTCGTAATAATTTCGGTCTGGCTGGCTACATAACTCTGATTAACTACTAGTCTGTAAATAAAATTTATAGTGAAACAGAAAAAGAAGTAATTTAAAAATCGATCATCGATTTTTATATTATATAGTGCCTTCATGTGCACTAAAGTAACAATATTAATGTTTTCAGACACAGAAGTGTGCCCATTTCCTATATAGGAGAATGGGATTTTTATGTTAAGAAACTAAATTCGTTTTGCTTTCTCGTGAAGATAGGTATAAAGCCTTCATTAAACTAGAACAATAAATACTGTGGACGCTAACTTCAAATTAAGAGTAATGCGTGCTGAAATGAGCACTTGAAGAAAATTCACGTAAAGCTTGGAAATATCGCCAAGAAGTAAGTACCAATTGTAACAACGGCTTACAATAATTATACTTAAGAAATAGGTCAGCCGTAACATCATAAATGGACAACACAATTACATCATGCTGTGAACGCTGTCTACGCTTTCTCAGAAATAAAAATAGACGTCACCAGCGATGACACACTTTAGGTACAGTGTTGGGAACTCATATGTTACTTAACGTTCTGTTTAGTTATTTCGAAGTGATATTAGTATTTGATGGGAAGGGTTTTCTTGGGAAGTGAAAATACAAATACGAAGAACTTAGATACTACTGACTTGGTTATTTATTAAGGTGGGTTTACCAACTTATATTACAATCTGTCATGCTACTTCACAGTTTCTTATAATATAAAAATAATTGAAATGTAACAATTTAAGGCAAACGCAATTGATATTACAACGTACTATTTACATGTTATGTTGCACACTAATCTTAAATAACCTCAACTTCAGAATCATAATAAGAAAATTAACTTTAAAAAGTTATAAGAGAACCTATGGTATGACGCTGCGTAGGTTTTTGAGTGAGCTACAAAGAATATTTTTTTTTCGCTGAAATTGTTTAGGAGTTTTCTTAGTAGACTTGAAACGGAAAGATTTGAAAGTCAAGAAGTCGAAGTTATATAAATTAAAAGAATGTAGACGAAAATGCGAATTAAGACATTATTCATAAAATAATAATTAAACACCTTTTTTATTAAACTGTATATCTCCGCACACAATATATTATCAACAGCACACAATTTTATTTTAGTTTTCCTTTTTTTTACTTGGGAGAATCGAATCTTTTCCGACGCCCCTGCCTTGCCACAGTACAGTGGCGGTCAGGCAGCTTGGCTACTACCCATTAAATCAAGATTTCATCGGGAGACTTGACAGATGCGGGCGGGAGCGGTTAATCAAGTAAAGCTAAGATAAAAATGATCACGGCTACTAACAGACACACAAATATGTCTACACCGTACATACCTGTCTAATATCTAGATTTTTAAAGTCTTTATTATTTTACTTACTAAATTTGTATGCGGCGCCTGGTTCCGCATATAACTCCAAATGAACCATTAACTTATCATACAAGACATTAGCATGTTAAATGTTACATACCGTATAAAATGTCAATTTAGTATTTTATTACTTGTTAAACAAGTCCAGAACACTGTTATAATGGTGGTTGTTGGGCAAGTCTTTTATTGTTTTCTTTTAATGTAATTATGGTACTGGTTTAGTTGGAGTCTTGTTTGGTCACAATAATATAACTTAGAATCCATTTTAGGAATAGAAAAAGACACTATAGACTGCGATGACTTATGCGATGAACTTATTAAGCGAGTTAATAAAATAAACATATATATGATAATTATTTAAAAATTTAGTATTCTCTGAAGTTTAGTGCAGCACGTATTCGAAGAAGACTCCTAACGGTTTAAAACGCTAAATGAATTGTATGCCTAATAGCTGCTGTGCTTACGCTCCTGAATTCTAGGTTTTCAACCGTTGTTAGCGTTTCATTTACCCTATAATAAGACAAAGATTGCAGATTAAATGCAATTACCATTTTTTTATGATTTTGTTGGCTTTGCTTTCTATCCTATCCCATTTAATTATGTCGTAA